AGAAGTATGACATATCGTGAGTTTTAATTTATTAAGTCCCTAAGAGTCGGTTGAATTGTTGTCTTGCAAAAACAGGCTGAATTATGAATTCTTTTTACTCTATTAGAATACCTTAAAAGTTGCTGCAGCTACTAGAATTCCATTTTTGCTACAAAAATCTTTCTTTAAATATCTCAATTTCCTAATGAATACTTAGTCCATTACTATTATTTTGTATTATCCAGAGACTATTATTTAGTTATAAACACCACAGGCAGAATATTACTACGTCCTGCAGTTTCGCAGAAATTTCCTTAACAACTACTACAGATGAACAAGAAAAAAATTGAAAATGCATCGAAATAATTAACATATTATAAATCAAAATAAACAACTATGAGCTCAAGAAAGAAAACGGAAGATAAGGCAAATTTTCCTTAACATGCAAGGAATATTGCAGATCATTAAATCACTTACACAGCAAAGTCTAAACAAAATAACTACTTGCGTGATACTCTAAAGCAAAATAATCGCAAAGGAATTCAAAACTAAACTGAATTTTGGGCTCACTGACTGCGGATTTGTTAACAGCTAGTATTTATAGATTTGTTTAAGAGAAGATGTAAATACTTATAGAAGCTTGGTGAAAAATCACTTTTGGAATTTTGAAAATATGCTTTCAAGAAACTTCAAAAATGTCTCCAGGCTGATGAAACGTTCCCTAACTTGCTGACCCAGATTGTTGCCAAGACACTTTGGAAGGATTTTTGCCTTGTTCTACTTGAACTATTTTTACAATTCAAATATCAATCGACAGAGAATTTAAAAATCTTCATAAAATCGAATAACATTAATCGAAACAAAAGTAAATTTTTAAATCATAATAACGTAAATACATTAATTAAAAAAAATCTGAAATGTTTCAGATTTTAAATTACGTCCAAAGGGGTGTTTTTTAAACGTTTTGGTGTTACCTTTATTTGTTAAATATCACGTTCTTAGCACTTAAACCATAAAATTTAGTTTAATAGCAATGTCGCAATTGAAAATGAGCATATCTTTAGAATTTCCGACACACAGTTCCCCTCGCTGGAGATAAGAATTTCCCCCCCCGTAGAGTGTTGCCATTAATCGCTTTGAAATCGTTGAGTTTGTTACTCAAAATTCGTTAAAGGTTTACAAAATATGAAATCGAAAAAAAACAAATTCCAAATTTCAAAAGCGGCCGAGCGGTAAAGACGCTGAACGCTGGTAGTTCGGTCTGAGATTCGAATCCCGCGAACGGGCTGGCTGCATGGGCGTTTTCGTGGTTTTCCCCATGTGTAACGTGTATACGAGTAAGCTTCCCTTAGAAAGTCCTCCACGAAAGGCATCCCTCCCTTTAGGCAGATAGCCCTCGTGTGCTTTGCCATAACTGAATAATCCAAATCCAAATTTCAAATTTGGGCTTCCACATGCCCATATTCGCAGTAGGATTACGTCATTTAAAATTGGATGGCTCTAGATACCGTTGTTTTATCACAATGCGAGAAATATACGTACATTTAAGCAGATTTTTCATTATTTAATTTTTTCAAATATAATGCAGGACACTAACATTTGGTGGCAACAGTTTGAAAAGTGAACCGACATTTATAGGAGTCTGACGCAAAATGCCAAAACGAAAGTAATAGTCCTTCGGGACTCAAATCCTTCGGGACTAATAAAGTTTCACAAACGTAATAAATGACCAATAATTCGATAAAACAAAAATGCACAATAAAATTATTATATAGAATATACATTGGTGTGCAAAAATTAAGGACTAAGTCGAAAAATTAGCATATCAGCTGAACGAAGAGACATAGCGGACAGAAAGACCAATCAGGAGATAAAGTAAGGTGATGTACGGTAGCACATGCGCAGATATGCAGGTAAACGTAATGGGGGAGTGTCTGAGTAGTATAAAGCATGTTGTCGATGTAAGCTTAGTATTTCTGGCAAAGAGATTGCACGCCGTATAGCAGTTAAAATCACACCGAGTTGCTGCCTCAGCGAGAAATGGCGAATAATCAATCTGTTAGACGACATCTGGATGCTTTTACCCGAGGTCGAATCATTTAGGAAGTTGGAGGAAGGCCGCAGTGTGACAAGTGTGGCTGCAGAGTTCGGAATTGCTCACAGCATCGTTTCACGACTTTGGAGACAATTTCAAACTACAGGAACAGCTATCCGAGGGTTTAGTAGTGGTCGTCCACGAGGAACCACACCCGCAGATGACCGGCATATTGCCTTACAGGCCAGAAGAAACAGGCTGCAGACAGCGACACAGGCGACTGGACGACCGATATCGCGTTTTACCGTGGCCAGAAGACTCCACGGTGGTGGTCTGTTTGCACGACGCCGTGTACGGTGTGTATCTCTAACGCCTGCCCATCGGAGAAGGCGTTCTCTGTGGTGCCGGGAATACAGGGAATTGGAGAGACAATGAATGGGGACGAGTACTCTTTACAGATGAGAGCAGATTCAGTCTGAGTAGCGATTCTCATACTCATCTGGAGAGAGCGGGGAAGCCGCAATCATCCCTCGAACATCATTGAAAGAGACAGGTATGGAGGTGGCGGTGTTCTCGTTTCGGGAGGCAGCATGCTTGGTAGTCGTACAGACCTTCACATCTTCGACGCTGGTTCAGTCAACGGTACCCGTTATTGTAACGAGATTCTTCTTCCATATGTGCGTCTTTTTAGAGGCGCTATGGGTCCGCAGTTCCTTTTGATGGACGACAATGCACCATGTCATCGCACAGTAGCTGCCGAACACCTCTTAGAGAGTGAGGATATTGAACGTATGGATTGGCCGGCACGATCTCCGGATCTCAATCTCATCGAGCATGTATGGGATTTTCTAGGCAGACGCTTGGCAAGTTCGTACCTTACCACCAGTAACGATTCCGGAGCTTCGATTGGCGCTGCAAGACAAATGGGCAGCAATGCCTCAACAATTCATTGACACCCTCATTCTCAGCATGGGCAGACGCTGTGAAACCTGCCTAGCAGTCAGGGGGAGATCATATCCCCTATTAAAGACCGGATGTTTCTTGCTGGACACCCATCACAGGGATGTTTCGGCCTTCAGTCGCATTGCGCTCCATGCTACTTTTTCAATAAAGCTTCTTTTTATCCCTCTGATTTCTCTTTTAGTAAGTGTTGCTTACATTACTCATGTCCTTACGTATTGGGGATCTTACGGTATTAATGTGTTGATTTGGAAAGCTTTTGTACAAAGTTATGTTGAAAAAACCGTCTCGTCCTTAATTTTTGCACACCAGTGTACTAAATAAATAAAAATAGTAAATACATGACGCTGCAAAAAAATATAAATCTTGTTTACAAACAGCTAAATGTAAATATTTTAGAAAATTATAATAATATTACAATCAATAATCATAAATTAAAGTTACATTCTGACCTTCACTCATCGTCATCTTCAAAGTTTACTTGCGCAGAGTTTCTCCCAATCGTTCTTAGAAATATTATTGCTTCCCTAATACATATTAAAAAGCTACTTCAAAGCAGATTTGATAATAATTAAAAAAACTCGGAGAGTTTCAAATTCTCCGCACTCTTTGATCTTTTCCCTTCTATATTTCCTTCTAACTCTAATTTTCTGAACCATTTTGTTAGGCACTGTTCTCTACATTAAAATTTCGCATGTATATTTTTGATCTTATATAACATTGTACAAGCAGGTAGCATTTTGGATTCGTCCTTACGATCTTTCGGAGTATCCATAAAATTAGCTCACATGTTATGAAGACTGAAGTCAGTCTGTCTGGTTGTTTTGAATCATGCAAATTAATGCATTCGAATAGTTTTTGAAGCATAATCTATTGTAAAATTTTCTTTTTATATGATATGTATGTCATTCACAACAAAATTAATTGAAAGATCTTATTTATTTTGCAGCTATTTAACAAATCTTTGCGTAATGATAATTATAAGATGCGAAACGAAATATGAAACAATATTAAATAGTCACATTTTATGTAAACTTCTTCCAAGCTGCTAAAAATAAATAGAATTCTTCGTAGAGAGAATTTAATTTTATGTAACAAGACTCCAGTGTTTCAGTCTGCAAACTAACCCTCGACTTCTCATCAAGCTTCTTTACCCAATTACACCAACCATTTACACAGACGATAAATGTTGAAAAATTGTAAAGCAATTAAACATATAGAAATCCATTTAAGATTTAAGAAATAAAAAGACTATGAAAACGCATAATAAATAAACCCAAAAATTATAAAATTTTAAAAAATCTGAATGTTTTCGGATTTTATATTACGAAGTAACTTTTTTTAACGTTTTCTGTGTTATCTTTATTTATCAAATATCATGTTCTTTGCACTTAAACTATAAAATTCAATTCAATAGTAATATAGCAAAATAACTTTAAGATGAGGATATATTCAGAATTTCCGATACACAGTCTCGCACCTGGAGATAAAAAATGTTTCTTTTTTCCGTAGTGTTGCCATTGCTCGCTTTGAGTTCGTTGAGCTTGTTAATCAAAAACAAAATATGAAATCGATAATAAAACAAATTCAAATTCCAAATTAGGGCTTCCAGATGCCCATAATCGGTGGAAGATTTTTAGAGACATTAGGTTATTTTTAAAGCAGGAGAAATGAAAAATGAGCAACGTCTTCTCCGGGAATCGAACCACGGACCACTGGAATGCGCGCCCAGCGTGCGGACCACCACACCCCGAAGGCACCCAAAGGAGGGAGAAATACCTTATATACTCCCTCTTTTAAGGGGCGACTGGGGTTTTTTAGGGGAATCAGTCGCCAAATCCTGGGTGTGGAGAATCATCATCCACCACCGTTTTAGTTCGGGCGCCACGGTAGAGAACATTAGGTAATTTTTAAAGCTGGAGAGAGGAAAAATGAGAAACGCCTTTGAAGGAAATCAAACCACGGATCTCTAGATTTTAACGCCCACAGCAATTTATGGGGTTATCCCCGTAACAACATTAGAGGCATGCAGATGGAAGATTTCATCAACGCCCATAACCTCTTACTACACAATACCCCAGAAGACCCGCCAACCTTTGTCACAATCAACGGAAAAGGGTGGCATGACCTAACACTCTCTTCCCATCACTTAATCAACAGGATTAACAATCGTCGTATTTGCGAAGATGAGTCCATCTCAGACCATCAAATAATTACTTTTGATATCGTATTCGAGGTTCCGCACACTCAAACGCTACGTTATCGCATCAACCGAAATGCAGAAAAGAAATTTGCTAAAGCTCTGAACTCCAAAGCACATATCATTCTCCATGAAATTCAAAGCATCAACTCCAAAGATGAAGTTAATGCATATGCTACAACTCTTACCAAGCATATCCAAGAAATCAGCCATACGTCCCTTAAAATCAAAACAGTCAACCACAACACGAAGCCCAACTGGTGGACCAAGGAACTACGAGCAGAGCGCCAAAAAACCAAAGCTCTAAGACGAAAAATGAAAAGGAGAACGACCGACGAGGAACGCAAAGCAGCATGGATCGACTTTAACAAGCAACGTGCAATCTACAAAAAGAAACTAATTGAAGCAAAACTAAAATCCTGGACTACCTACTGTACGAAAAATCAAACTACCTATGGAGCCCTTTACAAAATGACCACTTCCAAGATTTATAAACCAACTCAAATCCACGCAACAACCAATACATCACAAAGTAATGGCACGGACCTCACGAGCACCACCATCAACGGTATCCTGGACCAAGTCTTTTTGAAAGACGACAGTGCAGAAGATAAACCGGAGCAAAAAGAACTAAGAGCATCCACACAAACACCAAGCACACCAGATGACATTCCATTCACAAGAAAGAAATACTTCAAATAGTAAAATCCCTTAACAACGCCAAAGCACCAGGCCCCGACGGCATTAATAACCAAGTCCTTAAGCTCATCAACAAAGCATCTCCAGAAATTCTGCTCAAGTTTTACAACAAATGTCTGGCTCACCACTGTTTTCCCGATTGTTTTAAAATTGGACAAATAGTGCTCTTCTCAAAGAAGAACAAGAATCCAGAGGATCCAAGCTCGTACCGCCCGATCAATCTTCTACCAGCTATTGGAAAATTACTCGAAAGACTCCTCATAAACCGACTGAAATACCATGTATTCAAGGACAATAAAATCAGCTCTCGCCAATTCGGATTTAAACCGAATAGCTCCACCATTCATGCCATCGATACAGCACTAACGCAAATCCAAGTTAACAAAGGCCAACAGCTACACTCTGCGTTGCTATGCCTCGACCTGAAGAACACTTTTGACTCCCTCTGGTGGCCTGCTGTCAAGCAGGCCCTCAGAGACCTTCAATGTCCAAGAAACCTCTATCTAACAACTGCTGACTACCTGCATAATAGAAAAAGCATAGTACTCCACAACAACTCGGTCATCACAAAGCAACAAGCAAGAGGATGTCCACAGGGATCTTGTATGAGCGCGGACCTCTGGAATTTCACTTTTAACCATATTATCGACAATCACTGGCCTGCCCACACACAAATCGTAGCATTTGCAGACGATGTTGCTTTCATCATCAACGGCCGCTCCAGAGAACAACTCCAGGAAACTGCAATAGCACCCTTCAAATTTTCAACGCTCTATGCAAAAGAATAAAACTAAAGATCTCACACCAAAAATCGCAGGCACTGATTGTCCACAAACCAGGACGAACTATAACTCGAAATCCCACATTTAAAATAGACAACCACAGGATCCGATGCGTGAAAACGATTAACTACCTCGGCCTCACCATTGATAACAAGTTCAACTGGATTCAGCACTTACACAACAAAAAACTCACCACTATGAAAATAGCACAAGCTCTGAAGACAATGCGTGGTTACTCATGGGGCTTGAACCACCGAATTATGAAAATACTACTTACAACCGTGGTGAACAAGATCATCACATATGGAGCCGCTATTTGGGCAATACCTATGACCACCAGAAAGGTGCGAGCTCTAAACGCCATACAAAGACCTTTCCTTATAAATATCACCAGAGCATTCTCAACTACCTCTAACAACGCCCTACAGACACTGGCAGGTGTGCTCCCGCTCCCAATCCAAGCACAAATGGACGCAATCTCCACAATAGTCCTCCAACTCAAGAAAACAACTAACTTTAATGACACCACATTCCACCCAACAGACTACGAAGATCAGCCTAAAAAGTACTTTCATCACCCAGCTTTGAATCTTCAAAACCTGCACTGCATTTTCGACAAACCACCACCCACAACGGAATACACGGCTTTCACTGACGGCTCAAAGATCGAACAAAAGGTTGGCAGCGCTGCAACCATCCAATATAACCTTAGCTCACACACAGAATGGCAAGGGCACCTTAGAGATCTAAACAGCGTGCACCAAGCTGAACTGACAGCAATCCTCTACAGTATGCAAGAGCTCCACCAACTACCAACGGACACAGTCCATATCGTCAGTGACAGCCAATCATCAATCTATGCTATTAAAAATCCCTGCACAAATTCACCAATAGCCCGACAAATACAAACAATTATCAATTCCAGCCAAAAGAACTTCGTTCTTACATGGACGAAAGGTCATAGCAATTGCACCAAGAATGAAAGAGCGGACTTCCTGGCAAAGCAGGCAGCCCTTCGAACAGTCAGGCACTACCATCCGCATCCCATGGTCACGCTCCACACTGAAGTTTACTCTAAAAGTGATGGCCAAAGAATAGTGGCAGAGACCAAGAATTGCAAGATGAAGAATGGAACCAAGGACCGCAAGGCAGAAGGACGCATTCACTTCTCCCATGTGTCGATACTGAGCGCACTATTTATAATTATTATCTCTCTCAATATATCTCTGGTCATGGACCGTACCCAAAGTACTTCTATGAACGAAACTTTTCAGAGACTGAAATATGCGTTTGTGGCAATCCGGGTGATCCAGACCATTATTTATTTCAATGCCCAATAACAGAAGACTATCATATCCGCCATCCCACAGCACCAGGAACAGACTTCAAACGCTTCCTGATAAAGCACCGAAAATCCACATTAGTATCAAAAACATAATTGACACACTCCACCGTCACGGCTTGGAACTGTGTGCTCCATAACTGTTTTAAGTCCTTCTTCTTCTCTGGTATGAACGCCAGTTTTCCAATGGGGGTGCCTTTATAGTCATTGCAATAGTTTATCTTAGTGTATCAATGTCAGTACAGATTTAACACCTAGACAATACGACCACAGTTATGCACATTTTTTTAAAAAAATGGCATAACTGGAACTGCTACACTGTCCCAATAACATCATATTAATATCACAATAACTTAGCCAAGATAATACTGTTTAATGTTTTTCCATTCATTTCTTTTTGTTTATTTGTGTACATATATTTATATTTATAATTTCACCATCAACTGTAATGTATGGTATTGTATTTGTAATGCCATTGTCATCAGCAACTGTATCTTCCGTACCACAAGTTCTCTATGCCCTAATGATTAACGTTTCAATTAACACCGATGCCTGGCGTAAGTACACCTTTTGGAGGTGTTCATCTCAAGACGGTTAGTGTGAAGGAGCGACACCAGTTCTGCCAATGGCGATGTGTTGGTGCTTCCCACACTTAGTCCTGTCCTGTCCTGGAATACGCACCCAGCGTGTAGACCACTACACCACGAAGGCACGCAAAGAAGGCGGGAGAAATACCTTATAGATTACGTTATTCAAAATTTGATGGCTCTAGGTATCGTTGTTTTATCACAATGCGAGAAACATACATACGTTTATGAATATTCGTCATTATTTAATTTATTTGAATATAACGCAGAACAATAATATTTGGTGGCAACAATTTAAAAAGTGAACCGACATTTATAGTGCACCAACGCAAAATGCTAAAACGAAATTAATAGCCCTCCTGGGTTAACGTCTTTTGGGCTAAAAATCTTCACTTTTTCAAATATTAAGATCATTCGCTGCATTAAAGGGAAATAATTATGAAACTTATCATTTCATTACATTCAAAATCAGATTGTTTTGTTCTTTTTATGATCAAAGCCTAGTATTTCTCAGTTGTACAGTCTGTTGCAACAGAAAATATTCTATGAATGACAGAATAAAAGTATGTTGGTATTAACATTAAAAAATACAGAAAAAAATCTTAGTTTTTTTTTTTTTTTTTTTTTTTTTTTTTTTTTGTATTTTTGATTAAAAATGTCTGTTATAATTTTTGTAAATAATGCCTGTAAATATTCTGGCAATTTTAAGATAAGAAGAACATGTTGATATATGACAGAATTCTACTGCTAATCCATTTTAACCAACTGGTGACAATTTTCAGAACGCATTCACCCGCCTGCATTATTTTCTCACTTAAGAATTTGAATCTTCAGACATTGCTTTGAAATGACCAGTTCTAGACTGTGCGATTGAGGCTTTGCATCTAAATTTCTGCAACAGCTTTGCATCCTTCCTGCAGTAGAAGATTGAATTTGCAATGGAACGCATCATCATAGCAACCATAGTCACTGGTAATGGATCAGGTCACAATATCACAGCACGTGTTGACACTCATGTCTTTTCTTAATGTAAAAAATCTAACACTAAAAGGAGAATATATTTCCAGTTCGGAAAAATGAGGTACTATGTCACCAAAATTGAAGATGCTTTCTTGCAGGCGTTTAGACTAAATTTCAAAATGCTTGGATATATTCAGAAGATTGCTGTTTTTGTGTTGTTTGACTTTGAACTTTATTCTTGTTCCACAGAAATCCAAGAATTCACCTCCTGTCATAGACCATATTCCATAAATGCCTGACAAACAACTATATGTTTCTGTTGTGTATTCTGAAACGGTAAACGTAGTTCAAATCGTATAGTAGTAACTAGATTCCATGGAAAAAGACCTGCACTGATCATAGCCCATTTTTTTTTATCTAGATTGAGATTTAGTAGTTTATTTGAAACAATTACATCTTTAAATTATATCTAGAATTTATTGAATAAAAAAAAGAAAATACGAAAGGTTTCAGATTTTAAATTACTTCCAAAGAGGCGTTTTTTTAACATTTTGTCAGTTACCTTTATTTACTCAATATCACGTTCATCGCACTTAAACCATCAAATTCAGTTCAACAGCAATATCGCAAAATAATTTTAAATTGAGCATATTTTTAGAATTTCCGATTCAGAGTCTCGCGCGATGGAGATAAAAATGTTTGTTTCTGTACAAAGTTGCTATTGCTCGCTTTGAAATCCTTGAGTTTGTTAATAATTCATTAAAGTTTTACAAATTTGAAATCGATAATAATAAATTCCAATTGGGCTTCCACATGCCATATTCGGTGGAACGTACAATTATTCAAAACTGGATGGCTCTAGGTACCGTTGTTTTATCACAATGCGAGAAATATACATACAATTTATGCGATTTTTCATTTTAATTTTTCAAATCTATGCAGGACCCTAACATTGGGCAACAGTTTGAAAAGTGAAACGGACATTTATAGTGATTCATCACAAAATCGCAAAACGAAAACAATAGTCCTTCAGGCACAAAGCCCCTTTGAACTAACAATTTTTAATCATGTGTGTTAATATCAGAGGAAAATTTACATTTTCAAGATATATAAAGTAATATTCTTCTTAACCAACATTTAACAGACATACAGATAAATTTAATTTAGATTAGAGATAAATTTAATTTAGATTTAAATTATATGAATGTATTTATATGATCAACTTTGTTCCTCGAAATTTCAAGTGATGCCTAATATTTCAGAAATAAAATATCCGTTCCAATAAATAGCTCTCTAAGTGAAATTTATGGCACAGGAATAAGATCTCGAACG